CTCTTAGATACTGATGGGGAAGGCTGGAGGACGCACTCTTAGGTACTGATGGGGAAGGCTGGAGGACACACTCTTAGGTACTGATGGGGAAGGCTGGAGGATGCACTCTTAGGTGCTGATGGGGAAGGCTGGGACGCACTCTTAGATGCTGATGGGGAAGGTTGGAGGACGCACTCTTAGGTGCTGATGGGGAAGAGACATTAAACTTGGAAAGAAAACTTAGGTCTTTTACGAATGAGTCACGAATGACATATCTTCTATGCCAGATTGCCATTTGTTTCTTCTCTCTCGTTTTCCTGCCTTCTCCATAAGGGAAAGCTTTCTTGTCTAGTGAGAATATTCTTCCTGTGTTTTATATCTAATTTCTTTGTAGATAATCCTTTAGTTTATCCCACACTCCTTAAGAACCGTTGTGTAGCTACTTTGCTGGTATGTTTGTGTGTGCATCGCTTGCATGTCTGATGTCCATAAAAAGGCACCAGATCCCCTGGAGACTGGGGTTTCAGGTGGCCATGAACCACCATGTCTGGGTTGGGCCTGGAACTCTGGTCCTCTTCAGCAGCCAAGAGCCCTTAACTGCTGAGCCATCTCAGCAGCCTGCATTTTCTTTTCTGAGACAGGGTCTTACTGTGTAATGAGGCGGCCTGTGAATTCCTCATCCTCTGGTCTCAGATCGTCTCCTGTCTGGGACTACAGGTGTGTGCCACTGTGACCACTTGCATTTCAGTTTTTATGTACGTAATTATTGTTTTCATCTTATGGAGCTTATATTTGTAATGAAGTCATGCAACAAGTGGGGATTAAGAGCACTGATGGTTAATACACAGGCGCTGGGTTTGGTGTCCGGCACTCACACTGTGGCTCACAGCCATCTGCAACTTCCATTCCAGGGGATATGTGGCCTTTTCTGGCCTTCAAGGATATATATGCACACGGTACACAAACATACATACAGGCAAAATTAATATAAAAGTTGAAAAATAAATAAGTACATGCTTGTGTTAGGGGCGTCGCTTAGTGGTTGAGCGTCTGTTGAACCATGGCCTTACCGTCTGACCACACAACCATATAAAACAAAAAATAAATGGTTTATTAATATCCTGGAATGACCAGGGATGTGGTTCTTTAGTCCCAGCTCCTAGGAGGCAGGTGGATTTCTGGAAACTCGAGGCCAGCCTAGTTTAATAACAGGTTCCAGGCTTGCCAGGGCCACATAGTGAAACTTTATCTGGAAAAAGTAACCTTGTAAGTACTAGAAGAAAAGTGATTAGGTTAATGATATGGAGGATTAGAGTGAGGTGCAGGGTCCAGAGTGAGGGAATTGTAGGAGAGAGAGTACGAAAACAACCAACTGAAGAGGCTCTGGTTGGCTAAAGATGGGATCGCGCGAGCGTCAGGTCCCTCAACTCCCAGGCCTTGCAGCACACAAAGTATGCTTTATTCATAAAGGCGGCTTTGGCTTGTTTGTTGTTTGTTTGTGTGTGCTGGTGCTGAGGATGGAAGCCACCCAGGCGCTCCACCACAGCCCTGGGCAGAATCCCTGATGGCCTGTTTCCCATCCGTCTTTAAGGCCTCCTTAACTGCGCTTACATCTCCAGCAATGCAATGTGCACGAATTAATATTATTTGAAGACTAGGTCTCATCCTGTAGCCTGGTTGAAGCTCACTATGCTGTCCCCGAGCTCACTGAGATCGTCTGTCTCCTGAGTGCTGGGATTAAAGGTGTGTGCCGCCACTCCACAGCCTTTTTATTTTCAATTGTGTGTATGTGTGTGTGTGTGTGTGCGCGCACGTGCACATTTGACTTTGTTTACTCACTGGTGCGCTTGGAGAATTGATCCTCATGGTTGCTTGTAGTTGCGGATTGCCCAGTCTCGGTTCAGTGCTGTAATTGTATGACATCATTTCCTTAGTTGTTTTTCTCTTGATGAGAGCTTCCAGGTTGGGCATGTTACAGATAATGTTGCTATATGACATAAATTCTTTTTTAAAATACTTTTATTTTAAAAAATATTGAGCTCTTGGGCTGGGGATGTCATTCAGTTAATAGACTGCTTCCCTACTATGCACAAAGCCCTGGGTTAGATCCCCTCCACCACATAAAACCAGGTATGGTGGCACACACCTGTAACCCTGTACTAGGGAGATCAGAAAGCTTACGGCCATCTTTGGTAATGTGCTAAGTTCAAGGCCAGCCTAGCCGACATGAATGAAACCCTGTCTCAAGGAAAATCAAGGCAGATGACAAGATAAAAATTTATCAAACTTTAGAAATATGAATGTGTTTGTATGTATTTATGTACTCGTTTTGCTGACATATATACCTCTGTGTGTGTGTGTGTGTGTGTGTGTGCCTCGCTCATGCCTGCAGAGGCCAGAAGGGATTAGAGACTGTTGTGAGCCATGTGGGTGCTGGGAACAGAACACAGGTCCTCTGCAGGGTGCAGCAAATTCCCTTAGCTGCTGAGTCACCTCTCCATTCCCTGTTTTCAGAAGTGGAAAGGAAGCAAGTGCGGTAGAGCTACAAGGAGCAAAGGGGATAACAATTCGCATATGGTAAACACAGGCCATGCTGTTCACGGGGAAATATACTTACTCTGCTTAAGAGACACATCGTTAAAAACTGTAGGTAGTGAGGCTGGAGAAGTGCCTCAGCGTGTAAGAGTGCTTCCTAACCATCCTGCATCCTTTGCAGAACCCACACGGCAGCTCACAACGGACTCTGGCCTCCATGGGCTCCTGCACATCTGGATGCACATAAACTCATGCAAGCTAACACACACGAGATGCATACAATTCAAAAAGATATTTTAAGTAGAGATTCTCAAACTTTGATCTATATCCAAATAACCTGATCTCAGCATCTCCTATCCCTCTTAGACTTTTTAATTTTCAAAACACGTGATTTTAGGGGGGCTATTTAGCTGATTTAGCTGCTGGTTTTGTCTTGTTTTGTTTTCCTTGTCTTGAGCCAAACGCTTGCGATGTAGCTCAAGCTGGCCTGCCTGTGTACCTGCACGTGTAACTAAAGCATCCTCCTCAGCCTCTGGAGTGCTGGGGGCAGACATGCCGTCACGTCTGGTTTAAGCTTGCTTTCTGTTGTTTTTGGTTTCTGTTTTTAAAACTTGTATCTGTTTATTTCATCCAGATTGGGAGAGTGTCATGTGTTTATCTTTTTTTTTTTTTTCCAGATCTGGAATCTAGGTATAGCAGTAAGGTGTTATTTCAAGAAAATAGTACTCATGAAATCAATTTATCTCCATGGGAAATAATGCGAAGAATTAAAAGGCATGGCCTCGAAGACTCCTTTTATGGGGAAGAATTTGAATATAAAATGTTTGAAGAGCAAGAGAGTTCTCATAGAGTATATTCCAGGCAAATGACAAAACCCACCCCTGGAAAAAGACCTCTGTACCGAAAACGGTCATCTGTTGGTCTCTATCAGAAAAAAAGCAGAGAAAAGCCCTACCGGTGTGGGGAGTGTGGAAAGGCTTTCAGAGTTCGCCAGCAGCTTACTTTCCATCAGAGAATCCACACCGGTGAGAAACCCTACGAATGTAAAGAATGCGGAAAAGCCTTCCGACAGTGCGCCCACCTCAGCCGACACCAGAGGATTCACACATCTGACAAGCTCTACGAATGCAAGAAGTGCACAGAGATCTTCACGTGCAGCTCAGACCTCCGCGGACACCAGAAAAGTCAAGTCGGCGAGAAGCCGTATGAGTGTCGAGAGTGCGGGAAGGCCTTCCGCGTGCGGGGGCAGCTTAGTCTCCACCAGAGGATCCACACGGGCGAGAAGCCCTACGAGTGCAGGCAGTGCGGGAAGACCTTCCGCCAGTACGCGCACCTTACCCGGCACCAGAGGCTCAGCAGTGCCGGCACCAGCTACAGGTGCGACGAGTGTGGCCAGACTTTCCTGTGCAGCACGGGCCTGCGGCTGCATCACAAACTGCACACGGGAGAGAAGCCGTACAGCTGTGCGGAGTGTGGGAAAGCCTTCCGCGTGCGACAGCAGCTCACCTTGCACGAGCGGATCCACACGGGCGAGAAGCCCTTTGACTGCAACGAGTGCGGGAAGAGCTTCAGCCGCGGCTACCATCTGACGCTCCACCAGAGGATCCACACCGGGGAGAAGCCGTACGAGTGTAAGGAGTGCCGGAAGTTCTTCCGCCGGTACTCGGAGCTCATCTCCCACCAGGGTATTCACGTCGGGGAGAAGCCGTACGACTGCAAGGAATGCGGGAAGGCCTTTCGGCTCTTCTCCCAGCTGACGCAACACCAGAGTATCCATTTTGGTGAGAAGCCGTACAAATGTTTGGAGTGTGAGAAAACTTTCCGACTGCTCTCGCAGCTTACTCAACATCAGAGCATCCACACGGGGGAGAAACCGTACGACTGCCAGGAGTGCGGGAAAGCCTTTCGGCTCCACTCGTCACTAATCCAGCATCAGAGAATCCATTCTGGCGAGAAACCGTACAAATGCACCGAGTGTAAGAAGGCCTTCAGACAGCACTCGCACCTCACCTACCACCAGCGAATTCACAAGAATTCTTAGGCATCCTTTGAAGAACCCTTCCGTTGCAAATATGATAGGGGGCATTAGAAAATTCTAGAAGAAAAGGGTTTTAATCCTTTTTTTCTTCTTGCACACAAGTGAAGGCATGAAAAGTTTCAATCAGAGGAAAAAGGTGTTAAATTTTAGGAACTTCTCTCTAGAATGGCGCTTCACAGAAGGAGTGAATGCCTGTACCGTACACCTAAGGGCATAGCCGGGGCACCAATTCATCTTGAAAATTAATAAATAAAAAGAACTTCTGTATAAACCATGTCTCAAAGCTACTGAAAGTTGTTGAGGTACAGTTCTTAATTAGAGATTTTCAGCAGACTCAGGCAGAACATAGCAAAGTGACCTAGAGCAGTGGTTCTCCACCTGTGGGTCACAACCCCTTTGGAGGTCGAGCAGCCCTTTCACAGGGGTCACCTAAGACCATTGGAAAACAGGTATTCATAATCCATAACAGTAGCAAAATCACAGTTATGAAGTAGCAATGAAAATAATTTATGGTTATGATGGTATTAAAGGTCGCAGCATCAGGACAGAAGCTCTAGTGGTAAAGGCCATTGAGTGGTAGACTGGCTTGAACTGGGTAGTGAATAGGTCAGGCTGTTCCAGCGTGACAGCTACAACAACGACACCTTGCTGAGCGCTGAACCTCTAAACCATACAGCCCTAACTGCCAGTTTAGAGAAAGGAAGGAAGGGGACAGATTTCCTGGTAAAACAAGAAGCAAAGAACAGGGTTTCTCTGTAGTGTTGGGGCCTGTCCTGGAACTTGCTCTGTGGACCAGGCTGGCCTTGAACTCACAGTGATCTACCTGCCTCTTGCCCCCCTCTCCCAGTGCTAAGGATTAGAAGCCTGCATCACCACCACTCGGCTCTACTTGGCTCAACCAGCAAAGTGACATTAGAAAAAGAGGTAGCACTTTTTGAATATTGAAAAAGACTTGAAAGACATAGGTCAGACACACTGAGAATTCTTAGATCATGAGTTGAGCAAATGTGTAAACAAGACAGGAAGTCTGCAGGGGAAAGCAGTGCCCTGAACTCAATCTGGAAGTTCATGGACTAGACCCACGTGATTTGATATGGTGTCACTAGCAACTTCAAGTCGAGGTATGTGGCCCCTCCAAATTATAACAAGATTTAGTGTAAAATACAAGACTTTGAAGTCTTAGTTCCTGGCTGCTCAGGATGAACTCGGGGATGAGGCAAGCATGCTGTGATGTCAGCTCGGGGCAGGAGGGGGGAGTGAGGATGGACGGATCCTGGAGTTTGCTGGCTAACCAGTCTAGCTGGACCCAGATAGTGAGAGACCCTGCTCAAAAAGTAAGGTAGACCTGGCTAATGCCGAGTCCCCTCTGACCTCTCGCACAGGCGCATGACACAGAGACATGCACACACAAGAACCTCCGTCCTGGGAAACAGGCAGGTGAATCTGAGTTCAAGCCAACCTAGTCTACATAACAAGTTCCAGGCCAGCCAGGGCTACACAGTGAGACCACCAACAACAATTAAAAACATTTAAGTAAAAAGAGTATTATCTAGTCCAGGCCTTCACAATCCTTTTGTGCTTTTAAAGTTTTCTACATATTTAAGAGCGAAGTGAATTGTGTTTGCAAACTTATGAACATTTTAAAATTACTTTTTATCAGTAATAAAGACTTTTTTATGGATGGTGATGTCAAGCAGATGATTTGCCTGTGACCACTCTCATGAGCTTCTGTACTGTGTCACACAGTTGACCTTTCTACCATAAAGTAAAATAGAAGCAAACTCAGGTGTCTTTATTCCCGACAAGGCTTTTTGCATACTGGGGTCTGCATGGTACGATAATCCAAATCTTCTCAAATAAGATCTGAAACTTGATCATATTTGAGACGAATTTCTAGGAAACATATTGGTAGTGTTTTGCTCTCTTCCTTCCCTTCCCTTCCCTTCCCTTCCCTTCCTTTCCCTTCCCTTCCCTTCCCTTCCCTTCCCTTCCCTTCCCCAACTCCCCCTTCCTTCCTTCCTTTCTTTCTGCTTTGGAGATAGGTTCTCACTGGTCTGCTCCAAATTCACTGTCTGCTTCCGCCTCCTTAATGCTGCGATTACAGGCATGCACCTCCACTTTTGGCTACTGGGTGATGAATTTTTAAAAGAGTACCATAGTTAAGTGAGAATATTGTATACTGTGTATTAGAATCCGTACTTTTTTGGAAAACGAAACTAAAATCTCATCAGAATGAAATAATTCGGACTTATTTAACTACTTAATCTTTTTGTAGGAGGCCGCTTGCTCATTTCCTGGTCGCCCAGACTCCCGAAATAATCACACAGAAACTATATTATTTAAACTACTGCTTGGACCATTAGCTCTAGCTTCTTATTGGCTAACTCTTACTTATTAATTTAACCCATCTCCATTAATCTGTGTATCACTACGAGGTCGTGGCTTACCAGCAAAGTTTCTTTTCTCCTTGACTCTACCTCCTTTCTCCCAGCATTCAGTTCAGTTTTCCTGCCTACCGCTATTCTGCTCTATGCAGGCCCAAGACAGTTTGTTTATTAACCAATGGTATTCACAGCAGACAGAGGGGAATCCCACATCCTAACATAGTTATTTGCAGTGCACTGTCGCTCAGTGCCTCTGAGTGTGTGAGACATTAGCAATTAGTAAATACTGCTAACGTGAAATAGAAGACTACACTAGTGGGAAGTTTCCATCTTATGCCACCAATGCACACACAGGTCCCTTCCCAGGGTGTGGCACCCGGTTCCAGGGTCTGCATATTGGCCTGATTCTCTTCTGCAGCAGTTGGGAGTTTTAACCCTAAGGAACAATACAAGTGTTCATATGGGCAACAATACAAATACACCCCCTAACAGCACAATTCTGAGCAAAATAAGCAGACATAAAAGACGGCTTTCCTGGGCTGGACTGTAGCTCAGCTGGTAGAGCGCTCGTTTAGCATGCAGGAGTCCTGGGTTTGATCCCCAGCACTGCGTATGAGGCACAGTGGCACACGCCTAAAACCACAGGACTTGAGAGGTAGAAACAGGAGGTTCAGGAGTTTAAGGTCAGCCTTGGCCACAGAGGCAGCTCAAGCTCAGCCTGGGCTACAGGAGACCCTTTCTTTGCTTTGTTTGTTTTGTTTTTGAGAAAGGGTTTCTCTGTATAACCCTGGATATCCTTGAAATCTGTAGACCAGGCTAGTCTCAAACTCAGAGAGATCTGCTTGCCTCTGCTTCCCAAGTGCTAGAATTAAAGGTGTGAGCTACCATCACCACCAGGCTAGAGACGCTGTCATAAAAAACAAACAACCATAGTCTATGATCCCCTCTATAGTAAGTACAAAAGTTGATACTTTTATGTAGTTAGAAGGCAGGATAGTGGTTGGGGTGGGGTGGGCTGCCCAGGAGTAGTAATGAGAGAAACAGCGGGGGAGGGGGGGTTCCGAGGACAGCATGTCTGGTCACTTGGTTTGGGTGCTGATGGCAGATGTATTCGGTTTGTGAGAATTCACACTGTGCACAGGTCCTGCGTGTATCTGTATTGATGTTCCACAACTAAAAGTTTTTGTCTTGGGAAATGATACTGAGTTCATATAAATACTTCAGATTTAATGTCTCTATCTTAAACTTTGTCCTCATTTTCTTTATAGCAATTTTTTGATTCTCTCACAATACAGCCATTGTTCTGGAAGACACATGAAGTGCTGCGTGTAAAGCCAGCTTCGCTAATAATCCGGAATGAAGCCAAAGTTTGCTTTGCATCGCTGTGCTTAAATACTCACTGAAGGGCCAGTGAGATAAGATAGAAGCAGTGCCTAGTGCGTCTGACAACGTGAACCCCTATAGAGGTAGAAGGAGAAACCTGACCCCTAAGATTGTCCTCTGACCTTTGTCGTGGAGTGCACACACCCACATTTACACACAGGCATTGTGAACGCAGCAGGGAAGTCACTAACGTGGTAGTCAAGGGCTGGGGAGATGGCTCCATGGTGGCAAAAGCACTTGCTGTATGCGTGCTGTTGGCATCCCAGGACCGTGTAACAGCGGGGCCATAGCACACACGCCGGTAATCCCAATCTTTCTGAGTGGAGACGAGAGGCAGAGACAAGAGAATTCCTGGAAGCTCACAAGCTTGGCACCTGCAGCAGGAAAACAACAGAGATGCTGTCTACCAGGAGAGCAAGGCCAGCACCTGAGGTTGTCCTCTGGCCTGGGCATGTGACCACATTTGTGATCTTGTGTTCAGATATAGCCAAAATTGTAGTTCTTAAAACATCATGATCTGTAATTAGGTTTATTTGGTTATTTTCTATCTTTAAGGACTGGTTTTTTTTTTGGTTATTTTCTATGTTCAAGGACTGATGTTTTGTTTCTGACTTATTTTTAATCCTTGTGTATATGAGCATGTTCATACGTGCATGTATGCGCGTAGACGATACAGATTGATGTCTGGCGTCTTCGTCACTTTTCACCTTATTTTGGAGACAGGTTTCTCTGTGTAGTTCTGACTGTCCTGGAATTCCCTCTGTAGACCAGGCTTGCCTCAAAATCACAGATATCCACCTGCCTCTGCTTCATGAGTGCTGGGATTAAAATCATGCACCACCACTGCCTAGCGATTTTAAAAAAATGAAACATTTCCATTGTTTTAAAGTTAAAACTAGGCTGAGATTAGTGGTCCATACTTGTAGTCCAAGTATTTGGGAAGCAGAAATAAGAGTACTGAGTCCAGTCCAGTCTGGGCTACGGTGTAAGCCTGTATCTCAAATAAATTGCCAGGTATGATGGCTCACAACTTTAATTCCAGTGTTTGGGAAGCAAAGGCAGGCAGATCTCTGTGATTTTGAGGGCAGCCTGGTCTACATAGCAAGTTCCAGGCTAGCCTTGGCTACATAGTGAGACACTGTCTCAGAAAACACCCCTCCAAATAAAAATGTAAGGAGGGGTTCAGTGGTTATTAAAAGCACACACCTCTCTTGCAAAAGACTCAACCGTGGTTCTCAGAACCCATGTTGGGTCACCCACAGCCACCTAGATCTCTAGCTCCAGGGGAATCCAGTGCCCTCTCCTGGTCTCCGTAGGCACTGTACTCAATTGCCCATACATGCACATAAACACACACAAATACATAATAAATAATAAAATTAAAGTCAGAAAGCTAAGATTTGGGAATAACTTTGTGACAATCCTGATTGGTGAGAAATGTAACTGTAACTTCTGTAACTTCTACGTGAAAATCCTCTGTGCTCCCTGTTCAGTTCACCCAGAAGTACATCACCCTGAGGGATGGCTACGGAAAGCAGCACTGTTCTTCACTCTATTGTGTCCACTACCGGTATAACGGTATAACGGAAAGGGACTGACTTGGCACGGAGGAGATGGCTCAGTTGGTAAAGTGCTTGTGCCACAAGCAGGAGGGCCTGAGGTTGGAAGCCCAGCACAAATGTAAAAAGCTGGGCGAGGTGGCACACACCTGTCGGCCTCGTGCTGAGGAGGCAAAGGCAGAGGACTGCTGACCTCTAGTCAGCCTTGCTGAATCAGTGAAAGATGGTTTCAAAAAATAAGGTGGAGTCCTGCGAGGGTGGCCCAATAACCAACGTCCTCGTGCAAGCTTGAGAATGTGAGTTTATATCCCTATCAGCCGTGCACCTGCCCCCCCCCCCACACCTCACCCAAAGTAGAAAAGGCACACTGGGGGGTAAGTCACACCTCTCAGTGGAGGCACCTTATACTCCCCCAAAGCTTGCCAGATGCTCTCAAACACATAAGCCCGGGGAATGCACACTCAGGGAGGCACGACCCGGCAAAGTCCGCTCGCACGAAGTGTGTGTGGTCATAATCACCAACCAAGCAATCCTTGCCGCCTTCACAGTCTCTTCGCTGTCACCCAGACACACGATGACAAACCACACGTCTCACAATGCCCCTGTGCCAGCTTGTTCCTCGGTGCTCCACACCGGGCTGGACCTTCCAGACCCTTGGCGCCAAGGCGCCTCGTCATCCCCAAAGAAGCTAATTAAGTTCTCCCCGAAACTAGTTTAAGTATCCGGCCCATTCCTCAAAAGAGGTTTTCAGGAGAGGGAAGTACAAGACCGAGGGGAGTCTGGGAAATGTAGTGTAGGAAACTGCAAGGCGCCCGAAGTCTGGGCTCAAAGCTGTGGCTTGGCCAGCGGACACCAATTGTGCGGTTGTTCATCGGAATCGTGAGGAAATCCCAGCTGACAAGGGTTCCCTAGACCAGACTTTGATCGGCTTCTTCTGAACCCTCATTTTCATTTTCATTAGACGTCCTCCCCGGCTTTTCACCTCGAGGTTACCGGAGTCCATGGTAAGAACCCCTCTCACTGATACTTAAGTTCGTCCAGTGCTTCACTCCTTTTCCTGCTGGTTGGCTGTAAGCCCTCAGTTGGCTATTGGCAATACTTTCTTTTTAGAGACAACCCAGAGTAGCGCTCCTCCTGCCCCAGCTTCCCGAATGCTGGAATTGAAGACGTGACCCACTGTGCCGAGCATGTTACAATACTCCTTTTTATAAACAAA